GCAATGAATCCTGGGTAAACCAAGGATACCGATGATACATCGACACCCGTCCTTCAAATCGGGCTAAAAGAAGGACTCGTTTTAAGGCCGCATAACGAGGAGTCTTGGAATCCAACCAGACCTCAGCGCCGCACTATGACGTAATCGTACTTCGAATCTGGCCTTCTAAGGACGCGTCCTAGGTTTTCGAACAGAACATGGGAGTGGTGCGGGAGCGGGAGTCATTCTGAATGGGAGCGGGATGGGAGTTGGAGTAATTTCACCAGGAGTGGGATGGGACAGGATTTAGATTTCTACTCTGGCCCGGGATCGGGATGGGAGACAATTTTTTTCTGTGGGAGTGGGATGGGACAGGAGTGAAAATCCACTCCCGTGTCAGTCTCTAGTCTGGACCACATGCCATCAGTGGACCATTGCATTGCGTCTCTGGATTTTTTCCCCAGATGAGTCATTGAAGGTAAGAGCTCCCCGTCCAAGCACCCAGTGTGATGTGGTGGAAGACTTTTTGTGCCAAGCATAGGACAACACAGCTAGCATTGCACAGAACAGAAACTCACTCTCCATTCTCCTGCTGGCTCAGTCAAAAATGCTGCAGCTGGGCATTGGAAGATTAGTATTTGGTGACAATAACAATGCAACCCTGCAGGCCTTTGGGCTCATTTCCAGGGAGCTGGGTCTCCTTTTGTCCACTCTGGGGATCACCAGACATTAGGTCTGGTTGGTACAGGTTCCGATCTTCTATAACTGTACACAGAGCTTGCAGAGGCTGCTGGAGATCCCAGGCCAGTTGTATGGACTGGAAGCAGAGAGGGATCTGAAGTTCTATAGGCAATCTGGCCAGGACCCTGAAGCTTTAGGTGGTGGTACGGGGGCCATGGGATGCCGCGCTCCACAACAAAGAAGACATAACATTCAGTAACTGTGGCATCAGTTTTAGGCCGCTGCTTCTCCACAGTTTGGGCAGCAGATTTGGGCTGTGGCTGGAGCTTGGCACCAGGCCAGGACTCTCTCACGGGACTCTGCTGGAGAGGAGACTGCGCCCCCCCTAGAGGCCTGAGACAGGAGACGGAATGCAGCACAAAAGCTGCACGCCGATGGCAAGATGATTTTTCAGAACAGCACCTGCATTCAGGGAGCGATGCATGGTATTAAAACTATGGTCCCAGGGTACAGGTTGCATTTCTGCCATCGGGCCTCCACCACCAGAAGGGGTAAGGGTGACTTTGGTCACAGATCCAGCATAAGTTGTAGTATGCAGAATGAAGGTTTCTACTGGAACTATTTTGTTATTTCAAAAGGACGGTTCCTTTCACCCAGTGGTGGACCTTAGGTCGCCGAACCGCTTTCCGAAGGTTTTACGGGATTCTGTTGGGAGCTGGAGAAAATACCATTTTTCTCCAGCAGAGTCCGCCGTGGATCCTCTGAGGGAGCCTCCTGCGCAGGTGCAGCTCATCAAGACCATCAGAGGATCCACTACTTAAGCTG